AAACAAATAAAACGTAGCTAGCTGTATCGCGAAAGGTACTTCGTTTCTTTTATATCGGACGAAAGGAAATTAAATTATCCTGTTCGATTGTTTCGATTAAATTAGGATTAATTAAACTTAAATTAGCTTTTAGAAAGCCAGAAGGGATTAAGTTTAGCGCGGAGAGAAAGAAAGGGAAAATATATCGGTTCGACGTGAAAATATTCGTCTTGTTTCGACACAGGGCGAAAGAACTTGAACGGGAAATCGATTCGCAAAAATACAAATCTCCACCACCGCATGAGAATGTAGAATATTTCAAGAGGCTGTTGCTTATTGAAATGCAGGCAGTGTTAAACTGTATTTGGCACAGGTTGTTTCCAGTCGCCTGGGAAATCCGAGGGTTAGTAACCGCAACGTTACACGCTGCACGATTGTTTGTCAATTCGTGAATCGAATTAAGTAGAAAATCGCCGTGTTGTGGTATTTCAATTCTTCCGGATGTAAAAGTCGCCAGAAACCGTGCGATAAATTTCTGTTTAGATTCTATTTCTATCTCTATTTCGTTGAGTAAATATTATTTTTTGAACTCGCGTTTGGATTTGCAATTATTTATGTGAACTTTACGTATATATGTGAGACAGATAAAGGGGCAACGAAATTGAGTTTAGTAGAAATACGCTAAAACGTATTACAAATATCATTTTCTGAAAAATTCAACTCGGTCAGAGTTTATGATTATTTATTTAACCTTCTTGCTTTAAACCCAAACATATATAAGAATCATTTGTTTTTCTCGTAGTATGTTTTCGCCAAAAGATTCGATGAACGTAGCGGATGGGGTAAGCTTCTAATTTATTACGATAAAATATTTTCAAACGAGTTTCTTTTATACCGACGGATTTTTATTCCATTTACGAGAAAATGTTACAAATAGTAGGCAAAACCACTTTGTACCTGTATTTGGTCTTTATGCGATTTTTTCGCTGGCACAAGTGCATTGTAAGCGGAAGTGTCGTTTCAGTAGTACTGCTCAATCTTTGTCAGTAGAGATTTTCCGAAAGAAAGTGGCAACAATTCCAATACACAAGAACCTTCAAGTATCATCGGCGTTACCTCTTTATCTCGAGACCTGACTCCAACGCGATTACCGTTTCTCTTTCAACGAAGGCATTGCGAAAGAAGTTCCTTATCGAAACATTGGAAAAATATATTTTCACTTAGACGTTCTAAAATATGTCGTTCGAAGTATTTCATGCTTTTGATCGTTATTTTTAGCTCTAGTCAGCAATCGAGTAAGTTCTATCAAACGATCGATATAGATGAAAAAAGAAAATCGTATAGATATCCCATGTGAAAAGCGCATGGATGACACACGATAAGCCCGTTTTTGTGATTTCGATATCGTGGCAAGTTGAAAAGAAGTATTTTAGTGCAAAGTTGAAATAAAAAAAAAAAAAGAATATTAGTTAAAAAATACCGATAAAATTTTTGAGATATTCAGACGTGGGTGGCAAAAATAAATATTTAATTTTGTATAATTTATAATAACATAGTAATAATAGAATAATTTTGTAACAAAAAAGTGTGACTTATCGTATTTCTCTCCCGTTATTATTATAGGATAATTTGTACCTATCTATCTAGAAACTTCTTCTATCCGCAATGCCCTGGCATCAGTGTTCGCTATAAACTACGTTGCAAGCTTTGGGATTAAAACTTCTGCGAGGAAGATTATTAGGAATATTGAATGAAACATTGCGCAAAATTTCATGTTCAGTCAGAAATTTATCCGTTTAATTTACGTTTCCAGTCTGTTTAATAAATACAATTTATATGGTAATAGTTTTAATAATTTTCGTTTTATAACATTAAGTTTCCTCAAAAGAGAAGTCTTCCAATTACATAAAAATACGTATGTCCTTTATCATATCAATGTTTCGTTGATTATAACTTCAATGAAATTTACTAAATATTAATCCTATTAATCGTGATAATAATTTTAATGTACGTACATTTCGATTCTTCAAATTTGTTTCAAACTCCAACTATTATATATTAAGAAACTAACATTGAATAACAGTCTATGAAACTCGTCATATTGCAAGAACCATGGTCACGCAATTCAATATACATGTTTCCTTAAGTCTTTGAAAAAATTATACAGAAATCAACAAAGAGAAGACAAATCTTCTCCATTACCATCCATCTTTTTTCAAACTCCACACGTGTTAATTAAAATTAAAGAAGACAAACAAAAAAGGGACGCTAGCTAAAAGTCTTATATCCGTCGCAAACTTCATAGAACGTTAAAGAAACAAATCTTCTATTATCATCCGTCTGTTTCCAAAGTCCACGCCGTATAGTATCAATTAAAAAATCCGAGAAAAAGAAAGGAAGACGTTATGTTAATATCTTACATAATCACAGTTTCCAAACTACCCCTCCGGAGAATCTCCAAGCAAAGAGAAAACAAATGTTGCGTTATCACCCGTCCTTATTCAAATTTCACGAATCAATTCGAAGACGAAGAAAAAGGGAAAGACGTCGTAAAACCTGTAGAATAAACGTTCCGAATCTGGAAACTATGGATCGTCGTCTTCGAAAGCTAGTCTGACTGTCGAGAAATTTTACAGCGTCGAGAGTAGCGCCGGTATCGGATCCGGTCTGTATCTCTGAACTCGCGAAGAGCCGCGATCAGGACCACGCCCTCGGCAAAGAAGCGACGCCGACGCCGACGTCGTGGTCCCCACCTCACCGCCGCTTTACTCCCCGCACCCG